TCCATCTGGATCCATTAACAACTCTTATCGGGTTTAAGACCAAATCCGATCCACGTGACAGAGACTTTAACATTAACGGATGTATTTCTTTAAGATTCATGTCAGTGTGGGATGCTTCATCATTTTAATCGTGGTATGCTATCAAAATCCTAAAAAGAGCCACTTGTGTAATTTTCTTTTTGTCTCGTCAATCTTCCCTTCTCTTCTATTAAAATAACCAAATACTAATATGTCATATTCGATTACCACCTAATTAATGATACGTCTGATACGATACAAGGATCCATTTGGCATCATTTTAGATGGTCTATTTATCGGATCAAGTCTGATTATGATATTGGTCCATCTGGATCCATTAACAACTCTTATCGGATTTAAGACCAAATCCGATCCGCGTGACAGAAGCTTTAATAATAACGGGTGTATTTCTTTAAGATTTGTGTCAGTGTAGGATGTTTCGTCCTTTTAATCGTTGTATGCTATCAAAATCCTAAAAAGAGTCGCTTGTGTAATTTTCTTTGTGTCTCGTCAATCTTTCCTTCTCTTCTATTAAAATAACCAAATACCAATATGTCAGATTTGATTGCCACCTAATGAATGATACGTCTGATATGATACAATGATCCATTTGGCATCGTTTTAAATGAACTATTTATCGAATCAGGTTCGATTAGGATATTGGTCCATCTGGATCCATTAATAACTCTTATCGAGTTTATGACCGAATCCGATCCGCATGACAGAGGCTTTAACAATAACATATGTATTTCTTTAAGATTGTGGGATGTTTCATCCTTTTAATCGTTGTATTATATCAAAATCCTAAAAATAGCAGCTTGTGTAATTTTCTTTTTATCTCGTCAATCTTCCCTGCTCTTCTATTAAAATAACCAAATACTAATATGTAAGATCCGATTGCCACTTAATGATTGATACGTCCGATACGATACAAGGATCCATTTGTTATTATTTTAGATGGTCTATTTATCGGATTAGGTCCGATTAGTATATTGGTCCATCTGGATTCATTAACAACTCTTATCGGGTTTAAGACCGAATCTGATCCGCGTGACAGAGGTTTTAACAATAACGGGTGTATTTCTTTAAGATTCATGAGATGCTTCGTCCTTTTAATCGTTATATGCTATCAAAATCCTAAAAATAGCCACTTGTATAATTTTCTTTTTGTCTCATCAATCTTCCCTTTTCTTCTATTAAAATAATCAAATATCAATATGTAAGATTCGATTGTCACCTAATGATAGATACGTCCGATACGATACAAGGATCTATTTGATATCGTTTTAGATGGTTTATTGACCGGATCAAGTCCGATTAGGATATTGGTCCATCTGGATTCATTAACAACTCTCATCGGGTTTAAGACCGACTTAGCATTTTTAGGATTTAATAGGAGATTGGTCGGAGAAGCATTTGACGGATGTGGCTTTCCAAGTGTCTTCATCTGAACAGTAGTTCTACTTGTGTGTTGGTGGAGATAAAGCAGAGGCCAACAAAAAAAGTATCAGACAGACATCCAACTCGTTTGTCTTGTCTCTGCCCCCCTGTTCGACCGAACAACTGTGCTCATCTAATTTATGGTACAAGCAGTGACTCCATTGCTGCAGCTTGTTTCAGAGAAAGTGAAACAAAGCGGGGAATCATCTGATAAAGAAGTCAAAGAACAGGCTGCATACTGTGCGCTGCTAATCTGGCTGGGTAAAAGGAGCTGTGACATGGTTAAAAGACATGCATGGTCTGAGAGCTCCGTGTATGGAACAGCGCAATGTGTGCAAGCTTTGGTTTTGTTGGACCCAAATTTGCTGGTGCTACAGAGGCCATGGTCTTCACCAACATTTAGAATGAATATTTCTCATAATTCAGGGATTTTATTTTTGGTAATATCATCACATTATCGGATTATATAGAAAGAGAATAATATAACCTGAGGATGAACATGTTCACAATAAACGGACCTTCTGAAATCAAAGACATGGCTTGAATGCTGCATAATGAGAAACGAGACACTAGTAGTTTTTACTCATAGCACATGAAAAGTTTCTGTTAGTGAACTAAGTCTCTATTAGTGAATTTACGTGTCGTGGCTGAAAAATCAGCACGGCTTGATCCATGAGTCGATGTCCAGAGTCATTGATGTTCGGGTGTGTGTGTCTCGATCGATTGGAGATACCAAGGTCGGTTGGATCATAGGTCGGGGTGGCTGCATCTCCAACACGGGATTGAGCTGGCTTGGGAGTGGCCACTCCTTGCACATAGACTCAGGTAGAGGATTCCCGACTTGGGTCCCTCGTACATTAAGTCAATGGTTTGTCCTTTGTTTTCTTTCCTCTCCGGCCAATTGTCGGTCAGGGGCTTTTATATTGTTACCCGAGGATCGGTCGTACGTGGATTTGACATGGCGACGAATCCCCCGACAAATTCGTACCTTCATGCGATCATCGCTCGATATGCGTGAAATGGTACTATGCGACGTTGTCTCGAGTTTTTTAGAACGGGACTTGCCGAGAGGATGCCTCTCTATAGAGGCTTCGGCTCGGTGTAGGAGGAAGGTGACCCTTATGCAGAATCTGTAGGGGTGTATCCGACATGGTGTCTAGTCCATGTCTCGAGGGCCTATGTTTGTAATGGTGCTAGAGGTCGATCGTGGATCAACCGAGATAAAAATAATATCTTATCACAGTCTAATCCTGCATTTGCAGGAGAGTCCACGATTAGTCACTGGCCTTAGCATCATCCGAACTGTAATCCTATATGGTCATTGCAGCTTCTTTTATCACAAGGTGGAAATATTTCTCATCGAATCAATTTCTTATTCCAATTTGTTTTCTTTTTCTTTTGATTTTGTTTTTATAATATCCACAAAGGGTTATCTTGAATTTTACTATAGCTTGCTGTTAGTGTAAACAACCTTAAGCCGTGGCCCTAGGACCGAGGCGGCTTGGTTCGGGTCCGAATGATAGGAATCTTCCCGAGACGGCCTTTGAGTCCGCCGAGGTGATCATCTGCGGTGGTTGGGACGATGTCGTTGTCTCCTCCGAGCAAGAATTTGCCTTCGCGTTTCTCAGGGACTTTCGGCTTCGCTCATGCACAAAGGTCGGGTCAGGGTGCTCGGCCCGACCCCTCCGACGATCAAGTTAGTCGATGTAAAGGGGAGGTCAGATGAAGAAGTTGTTTTTCCCCCCCTTTTTCATTCGGAATGCGAGGGTACTTATAGGGAGGTCTACTGTTTCCTGATATACCCGCTTCCAGGGGGCAGATGGGTAACGTCCGACACTGTTGTTAGCATGGCGTGAAGAGCCGAACCTGAGCAGGAGTTAATGCGCCTCGGCCGACGTTCTGGTCTATTTGACCAGGGGCCGTCACGTCAATCGAGGCATGAGGCGAGATGACGTTAGCCGAGTCTTATCATAATTACTATACTCATCACTTGTTGGATATAAACTGGGAGTTGGTTGGATGAGGGGACTTATAATATAAACTAAATCACGATTGTTTCTTCATATTAAAGAGGAAGAATTATGTTATGTTATTATATATGGTGTTAATGATCCATTTCTGCTTAAGCAAATGTACGTGAATCACCAAGATATGCTCTTCTACAAGGTTTTTTCTTACCATATTAGAAAAATTTTAAATGATATAATATATTTTTTATTAAAATATTTTTAATAATTATATAATTAATTATATCGAAGGCAGACGACTCATCAGGACATAATATTATACCTCACATACATCATGTCATAATTAGATTATATAGAATTTATAATATCTCGACTCATCTTAGATATAAAATTAATATAATTTATAAAAATTAAATTTTTATTTATTAATTTAATTTAAAATTTTAAATAGTGATTTCAACTTAACAAAATTGACGATCCAATCAACTCAACCGAGATTAAATAGAGTTTCTCTTTATTTAGAAATTGATTTTTATGACATGGAAACACAAAAACGACTATAAAAAAAATCCAAATAAGGCGATTTTTCTTTTGATGTTGTTGTTGACATGACGTGTGGGATGAAACAGTCTTTGCGTATACTTTCCACCCTTCCTTTGATACGTATCTGCGCCAGGAAAAGCGGTAGGTCGTGGAGTTGTACTCGTTCTCTCACGATGCCCACTTTTACTTGTCCAATTATAAGGCAGGTAATCGAACACGTTGATCGGAAAGAGTAAGAGAGTTTTGTCATGACACCTCGTCGGCCTAGGATTACTTATCCTATCCCGAGGCGTATGCTAACTCCCTTCCTCGGTTCATTCGATATTGGTGGGGCTTCAATCGGAGACCGGACTCGGAACGATCGGAGGTCGAATTTTAGGGCTTTTTGACCTTTTCCCCGGACCATCCAGCTGAATCTTGAGCGGTTCTACGCGGGATTCATGGGTTTTCGGCGTCTATTTGGGTTTTTGATCCAACGAAATCGGTGAGTCCTTCGGATTGGAGCCCAGCGACGGTTGATTCGTTCTGCGAACTAGGGCTTTTCTTGAGCCCTAATTGTTTAAGAGCTCGGAGCTCGTCATTGGGAGATCGATCCATCACTTTCTTATTTGTTCTGCAAGAAGGGGAGGAAGAAGAGCCGGTGAGCGCGAGGGATGAAGAAGTACGGTCGGCCGGACGCCCTGTAGATCTTGATCGGACCGGAGGCGGGACGCGTTTGCAGGTCGGTCATTGGAGTCAAGAAGCAAGCGACTAGAAAGAACCAAAGCCTCAGCAAAGGGAGTTGGGGGACGAGAGGGATAGTGAGAGGGGAGAGAGGTGGGGGATGGGGACGACGCTGCGGTACGCGATGGTGTGCTCGTCGAACCAGAATTAGGGCTTTGCTTGAGCCCTAATTGTTTAAGAGCTCGGAGCTCGTCATTGGGAGGAAGAAGAGCCGGTGGAGTTGGGGGACGAGAGGGATAGTGAGAGGGGAGAGAGGTGGGGGATGGGGACGACGCTGCGGTACGCGATGGTGTGCTCGTCGAACCAGAATTAGGGCTTTGGTTGAGCCCTAATTGTTTAAGAGCTCGGAGCTCGTCATTGGGAGGAAGAAGAGCCGGTGAGCGGGATGAAGAAGTACGGACTCCGGCTTCGATTTCCGCCGGTGCAGAAGACCTCGAAGCCAGCTCCTCCTCGCCCTCCCCCTCCTGCCTTCGCTTTCGGCGGCGGCGACGACGAGGATGACATCGAGAGGGAAATCTCACGGCAGGCGTCCAAGAACAAGTCTCTCCAGAAGGTTTGTTGAAATGGTTTCCTTATTCCTGGTATTGATGAGTAAATGAACTTGCGGATTGGTTGATTGATGGTGGAATTTGGTAGATCGAGGAGCAGCACAAAAAGGCAATGGAAGAGGATCCCTCGGTCTTCGACTACGACGGAGTTTACGACGAGATGAAGGGGAAGATTGCGCGCCCCAAGGTTCAGGATCGAACGGAGAGAAAGGTACTTCACTTTTGCCTACGTTTGGATGAAAACATGATCCTTTTGATTACGCTGATGATCGCATGGAATTGCGTTTCGGTCTTACGTGAGACCCCTTTATGCCCTTCTTTCATGGTCATTTTGAATGATCAAATTGAAAGAAGTGATCTTTTAGATGAGACTATGGCGGTGATAATTGGGCTCCAAGAAGATTTCTCAGAGGAAGAAAACCAGTAGATATGTACCCAAAGTCGGATACTCTACAAAACGAACTCACCTTATTACTCTTTTTGAAATTGGTTTTCCCTCTTGTGTTCAGGGTGGGGCAGGTGTGACAGTGATTATTGATCGCATCTTCTCCATTCCTTTCTTGAAATAAACATGGGATACCTTTTCCAGTTTTTTTTTTCTTTTTCAAGTTAGTCGATCTCTCATACAAAGACAAAGAGTATTGAATTATATTTTGGTTGAAATTCAGATGAATAATAGGATACAAAGTAAAGCTTTGTGGACTTTGTATGTTTGCTTTGGCACAATAATTAGCATTTTAATTTTCAATTGTGCTTTGTTCAAGTATGATGTGAATTCAAAAATCCTAATTCGGCAGTTCTTTTTCGGCGGCATCGTTTTTGTATTAAACCTAAATTGTGGGAGAGGATCGACCTTATTTTTTGAGTGCTTAACGATTAAGAATGCAAGTTAAAAATTTTATGTCTGTGTTTGATCTTGGTTGCAGTCAAAGTATATAGAAACACTTGTGGAGAAAGCAAAACAACGTGAGCGGGAACATGAAATTGTATATGAGAGGAAGCTGCTGAAAGAGAGGAGCAAGGATGATCACCTTTTTGCAGATAAGGAAAAGTTTGTAACCAATGCCTACAAGAAAAAGCTAGCAGAACAAGCAAAATGGTTGGACGAAGAGAGGCTGCACCAAATTCGTGAAGAAAGAGATGATGTAAGTGGCTCATATCTTTCTTTTTGCTGCTTTGCTTTATTTTTCTTGTTGCATATGTAATGTGATTTATGCAACCTTTTGTGCATAAAAAACATCCACTGTTCAACAAAATGTGGTGTATTCGACAATTGATTTTGTTTTTCTCTGGTGGAAGAATAAAAGCTTAAAATCACTTCATTGTTGTAGAATCAGCTCAACAACAATTGCCTTTTTTATGTTTATCTGGACTTTTTTGAGAAGCCAAAACCATGAGTTTGTCGGGGTCATGAAACATGGTAATACTTTTATTAGAACTTATCAATTTATTGTTTGAATGTGCTTCCAATTTGGAGTCCTGTTGTACATACTTGTGTCATCTTCTTTTGTTAAATTTAAATCCTTTTGGTATTAACATCAGATAGAAATGCTTTTGATAACTTTTGTAGATTTATAGTGATGAAAGTTATTAAGTGTATATTTCGCCTTCGGGAGTATTGCATTTGTGAGCATAATTATTGAATTTATCTATTAGCTAATTGATGAATTGTAATATTAGCTATCAAGTATTAGATGCTATTTGGTGTTGGCCACATGGAATGAGACCTTGGTAAAAGTATTGCATCCAAGGTTCACATCTTAGTCATCTATTTATATAAGCTTGGTGGTAATTTTGATTTTTTCCATAAAAAATGAATTTATCTGATTTTGGTTTTTTGTATTGATTTTAATTTTTCTGTGACCTTATCCTATCATCATCTTTGTCCAATACTACAACCATATTGTCCCAACCAATTGTTGCATTATTATCCCCTTCTTGTTTACCAGTCTTGACCTTCATCTCGATTTTTAAAACCTTGATCAGATCAGAATTTGGACAGTTTTGGTTAGGGGTTTGATTCATACCCAGTTTAGTCAGATAGGCTATCAGATCACATTGTGTTAAGATATGCGACACTTGTAGTCTTATAAACTATAATCTTCCAACTATGAAGCACAGTGAGGTGTCTTGAGGTTTTGAGTGGATTTGACAACCTGGCTAACTTATGATCAACATGGTTCATGTATTTAACATCAGTTAGGGCAAGACTTAGGAGAGGACAAGACTTATGATGGTTCTCATGTTATTGTGAAACATGGATCACCATAATTTTTTTACGCTTTGCCAGAAAGATTGGTCCTTCTGGTGACAATACGCATGTTTAATGTTCCGAAACTTAATGTGAATTTTCTTTTATGTTATCAACCATAGTGCAAGAAGATCCATTATGAGTGAAGGCTTCTAGTTATTGTATGTCGAATCCAATTCAAATGGCTGCTTTCCGCAATGATGCAAGT